ATGCTTCAAAATGGCAATGGGGCAGCTTTAACGAAAGCTCATCAAACGAGCTTTAGGTAAAGCACCCCTGCCACCATTCTGAAGCACAGGGATGCTGCTGATACACGAGATGAGGAAGCTGCTGAAGCATGCTAACTAGCATTGGTGACGCATAGGGTGTGCACACAGGTGCACATGCACCCCCTGAGATTGGCTGTGCACCCCCTGGAAACACTGGCATGCTGGAAGTGCACACTGGGGGACTCCCCCCCCCAGTTGGCGATCAGCTGCTGAGGAACCTCCCCCCCAAGCTTGGGAGGCACCAGTCACCCATGCTAACTAGCACACTCCAGCAGACTTGATTCATTACAGTGTATTGGAGCAACCTCCCTGCACGTGTACAGGCACCCAATAGGAGGTAGCCACTAAAATTCCTTTTTTCTAAAAAAAATCAGGTCTGTGAAGAAAGATAAAACCATGAAAGAACACGTGTCTGTGTTGTACTGTAGTCCATTGCATCAGCTCTGCCCCCAAGACATGTGGCACATTTATAATAGGCAAGAGAAAGCTTAAAGGCAGAGTAAAGAGCAATCCTGCACTGACAAGAGCTAGTAAACCTAATAGGTCTTTTCCATCTCTAGTTCATCTATGTACATCTTTATATCCCAAGAGACAAATTACATACAAAGAGCCAATTTCTAAGTTACATCCCTATTCAACAAAGCTCTTGAGGATGGGCTTAATTCACAGTGAAGTCAGTAAGACTTAGGATATGCAGTACTATGTCACGTACAGTTACCTGAGCTAGCTCTGAACAAGCCAGCTTGGATACCAAAAGCAGAGTAGCTGTGTTTGCAGTGCTCCACTCACCCTGCTTCTTAGCAAAGTTAATTAGACTGTTGCACTGCTTCCAGAGCTAGCTCAGGTATCAGCATTATGCTGGGCAGCGCCCCCCCACCCCACCCCAGCCTTCCCCTTTAGGTCATATCTGAAGCCCTTTGCTGAATTAGGGCCATAAAATATGCTGTTCACCCCAACGGCAACTATGCAAGGGTGGAATTGGGCCCCCAGATAAAAAGATGAGCTCAGAATACTTGCTTTGGAGATACAAAATTTTCAGAAGTGAAAGGAGCAAACATGCCCTTCAGAAGCTAAGCTGTTGAGCTAAACTCTCAGGGGTAAGAGCACTGGTTTAAAATGGCGCTAAGCTTCAGTTTTGACAAGTTACGATGGTGATAGATGTGGGAGGGCAATTTGGTGAATCACTAAGTGAGCAGCTAAACAGGATCTAAAAGGGAATGCAATTTTCAGGTTAATTTTTTTAAAGCAGTTTACCCTTTACTCACTTTCACTGGAGAACAACAACAACAAGCCCACACAGCAATCCTCCCTATTTTGTAGATGAGAAAATGGAGGAAGGGAGATAAAGTGATATGGTTAAGGCCATACACCCTGTCAGTAGCAGAGACAGGCCAAAAGCCTAAAAAATGGTTGACAACGAGCTTTTCTCACAGTGTTTTATAACAGGTAACAATATAATTAGCCCATTTTACAGGTGGGGAAGCTCAGGGTCAGAGCGGGAGGGGAGGCTGACTTGCCCAATGCCACCCATGCAACTAATAGTAGAGCTGAGAATTAAACTTTCAGACCTCAGCTTGGCCCAGCAGACTGAGCTGCCGCAGGCATACTGATGACTATTTACCAGTAATGCCTGTTGAATATCATGTGAGAAACAAAACAGAATCAAGGAGCAGAAACAGAGGACTCCAATTTTTATATTCACCCAACAGAGTTAAGTTTTATTTGTATTTTAAGCCCAGGAAAGTAAACTGAGTTAAGAAATAATGATGATAGCTAGTTCTTATGTAGTACTTTTCTCAAGCTGTTTTACAAAGGGCAACAATATTATTATCCCCATTTTACTGATGAGGAAGCTCAGGGTCAGGGAGGGAAAGGGCACGACTTATCTGAGGTCACCCAGCCAACCAATCGCAGAGCTGAGAATTAAACCAGTTTCTCTACTTTAGTGCTTCTCAACCTTAACAGACTCAAGGCACCCCTTATTGTATCCAAGGCACCCTCTATAACTTTTGTGAATTGAGCTGCACCCCAATTCAAAAACTGGTTTCTTACAGTGCTTACCTCCTTGCAGAGAGGCCAGGCAAGGGAGTGGCCAGGCAGGGAAAGTCTGGCTCTGCCCTTGTCTGCTTGTCTTCTCACACCTAGAGCCTGAACCAGCCCTTATCATTTTCCACTTGATTATCTCTTCGCACTTCCTATGGCACCCTTCAAAGGATCTCATGGAAGTCCCCAGCATCCTGGTTGAGAATCACTGCTCTAGCCACTGGGCCACGCTGTCTTCCAGCCCTACCGACTCAAATTCACCATTTATCTACAGAAGCAGCATAGCAAGTACAGTAGCACTGGAAAACATATTTGCCTGCCCCAGTGTCCCCCAGAATGCCTCACTCCTCACCTGGTAAGGTAACATCTAGAAAGCAATAAGGATTATTCAGTCTTTTATGGTCCACACAAGCCTTAGCCTCCCACCACTACAGCATCAGATCAACGCTTGATCTTAGCCCACAAGAGGCCAAGAAGTGATCTAAACAGCTGGAAACACCCAGAGCAGTAACAAATACCATTACAATAATATGGCTCCTGGAAATACCTATAACGAATGAAGAAGCTTGGCAGGCTGCTTTATATTTAAAATGCAGCTACTTTCCATATACAAAGGTGCAGAACCTGAAGAATCGGATGGGTTAACCCAGGACTGTAGAGATGATGATAAAAGAAACAAAAAGGCTTCAAGACCTTCGTTAATTCTGCCTTTACCATTAGCAGTGTCATTTAACACTGATCTGAACTCCAGAGCTGAGGAGATGGGAAGGCAATCCTGTTTTGTGATCCTAGCAACATTCTTTCTACAGCACTTAGAAAGTGATTGCAGAACTCACTCAAGGGTTTTTCAAAAGGTCCTAAACATTTGAGGTTTTATTAAACCTGATAGGCCCAGCACTGAGTAAGTGTGGGGACTGGAGGCTATGGAACCTCTGCAGAACCAGGGGAGCCTGTATTACCATAAATTCATGTTTTTCACTATCTCAGCAGGGGGAGGAAACAACATTCACACATACATACCCTCCTTTTTTGTATCACTCCAGCTCCTCAGCTCCCATTTTTATGGTTTTCCATTACTTCAGTGGAATCCCTAGAAGGAGATATTGGAAACCCAACAATGGCAGTAGTGCCAGGCTGCTCTGTGCGCACATCTAAAGAACACATAACTAGAGGAAGTCACAGCTGCAAGATATTACTGAATTGAGTAGGACTCAATTTATAAATACTAACTGTCAAATTATAAATATATACACATAATAAGAAAAACATCTGAAGCTATACTAGCTGGGTAATAGTTCATAAAGTATCCACAGAAATCCTCTTTCACTCTATGTCAGGTGAGGAAGAAAACCCTCCCATGGGTGCAATGCTGCAAAATTGTATAACACAGGGTTTTTACATGTTCCTGTAAAGCACTGCTGCAGATTGGATTCAGGGTGAGCTGGACTCTTGGTCCAATGCAGAACAGTAATTTCTACATGGAATACAAACAAGACTTTGTTAAAACAGCATTATTAAATGCAAGGCCATTCGATTTTTGATTGCTGTTTCTAACTTCACTCAACCCACCGTGTCTAGGGACTGCAGAGGTCTATTGGCAGTGCTTTTACTGTAACAGACTTTTTACAGCACACAGAGTGAAATTTGCTCTAAGCAGAGGGGCAGTGCAAAGTCTACATGCTAATAAACCAGTTGCCTTGTGGCTATAATAGAAGCCTTAACCCTTCCTACTCTCTACACCTTTTTTTGGCATTTCAGCCATACGTTAAATGGTGCAAATTACATTAAATGCAAATGTCTGCTAACTGTAAAAGGCATTTCCAAAGAATTCACTATAATGTTTAATAAAACTGCCCTCCAGGGGTACTTCCACCAGCCTCTGACACAAGCCACCCTGACAACGGTGCCAACCTCATTTGTTCCCTCTGCTAGACACTCCAAGAGCTGCACAACCGGAACAGTTGCATAGGGAGCACACATCTGAGCTTATCTGTATTTGTCTTCTTCCAGGAAAAAACAATCTGCAAGACTGCTTTCAAATTGTAGCTCTTGGGGCAGGGTGGTGAGGCCAGTGATAGCTCTGGGTCTGACTCAACCATCCAGACAATCTGTTGCAGTGTTTTTTTAATTGAATTTGTTGGAGAAGATAAAATATGGTCCAGGTTAGTAAAGTCGATATTTTAGGAAAATTTTGTAGTTTTACTTGGAAGACTTTGGAGGGAGAAAAGGTACCAAGGTTCTCTCAGCTATTCCAGTTTCAGTAAATGTCTCCTTTCCACTCATATTAAGAGGACAGAGTGATTGTATAGGGTCAGGCCAAAGGGGAGACTAAAGGTTACTAGTCCAGTAACCTGTCTCCAGCAGTGACTATTAGCAGTGCATTAGACTATTAGAAACTGTGCATCCACCCCATGACACACCCTTGCAGTCACCAGCAGGAGGTTGCACCTCTATACTGCATATCTAGCAAACAATATTGTGTCCCAGAATGATTATTTGGAAAAATATAATTTAAATGCATAGTCTAAACACTAAATAATACAATACTAACATGGTGCGTACTTTAGCGTAGGAATATTGTGAGAGGGGCACAAACTCAGAGACAATTAAGCCCATTGTAGAGATTAGATAAAGAAATTAATTATTCCTTACATTCCTAAATATATGAGAGGCCTAGGTTTGCTCTTAGCCATATGGGGTCTAAGTAAGAAGTTACTCCTTCAGGCCATAGCTTCCCTTAAAAATGACATCAAGATGAAATGACATTGTCTACCATGATACATGTTAGGAGTCATGGTAGACCACCATTTTTTGGTCAACCCAAACAGCCTGATACGTGTTTACTTTTGTGTCAGCTGGTTGTGGGTAAGTGTTAATGTTTGTTCTTTACCCTGCAGGTTCCACAGGCCAAAGCCTTATATTCCTACAGGGGACACAACCCTGGTGAACTGCGGTTCAATAAAGGAGATATCATAATGTTGCTCCGCCAGCTGGACGAAGACTGGTACCTAGGAGAGATCAACGGAGTCAGTGGAGTTTTCCCAACCAGCTCTGTGCAAGTTATCAAGCACCTGCCACTGCCACCACCCCTCTGCAGAGCACTTTACAACTTTGATATGAGAGACAGAGATAAAAGTGAAAATAAGGACTGCTTAACTTTTCATAAGGTAAGTCCAACCATTGCCACTGTATTAACACTTGACTAGCTTCCTTACTATGGATCATTTCATGATCAGATAACTTTGCAGCACTTTTCATTTGAAGATCTCAAAGCTCTGTACACATATGAATTAAGCTTTCCAACATCTCAATGGCATAAATCAGTTTTAACATCACCCCCATTTTATTCATGGGCGAACTGAGATAAAGAAGTTGAAGGTGGGATTTTCAGACATGCCCAGCATTGAAAATACTACCTAACCAGGTGACTTCCCCAGAGACACATACTGATATGTGGAAAATAAGCGCTAGCTTGACAGAGGTCCAAATAGAACCCAGGAGTCCCAATTCTGAACTCCCCATTTCAGCTTCTCCACAACGTTTCTTTTATCAATCAATAATAGTTGACTTCAGCTGCTATGTACCAGAAAACATAAATTCTGGGAAGGTTTCCTTGAAAGATACTTAGCTGTTTAAAAAAAATCTAGAAGAGCTCGAGTCAGGGGACACAGATCATCCATGCACTATTAGCATACTTGACCATTTACCAAGAATACACATTACCCAAGCAACAGCTGTGTTTGCCATCTCTATGCATTCATTCCTTGTTAGACATTTTTCATGGTAACAACAAAAATGAGTCAAAATTAAGTATGGCATCACACCCTATAGGCTTCAGTATCCTAGCAGAAAAATCAACAGTTATTTCTTTCTATTAACAACTCTGCTTGGACATCCTAGCACTGTTGCACACCAGCAATGAAAGCAAGCAGTACTCCAAAGGGGCTGCCGGACAAAGTAAAGAGACGGAGGGCTGTGTGGAGGAAAGCCGGTATCTAGGAGTCAGTCGCACTCACACTAGAATGAGGAGGAACCAGAAGAGAAAGTCAGTTCTTAACACAGCATCTGCTCATTTTAGCATCACCACTTTAAAATGTGGTTTCTAATCTTGCTAACACTAACACCAGGAACACGGGAAGCCAACATCTGATTTAAACTGCAGGCTCTTTCCTCTGTTTCACGCCGTCTGGTTTTGTTTTCTTTTTTGCTTTATTTGTCTTTGTTTCACTGCTTACTCATTCTGTTTATTTGCTTTTGGAGACAAGGCTCATTTCTACTCCTACAGCAAAGTTAGCACATGGAGAGTTATCATACATATAAAACAGACAGCTGCTGCTTCAGCGAGGAGAGAACACGCTCACTCACATCCCTGCGCCTCGCAGCACTTGACAGATAGCTAATACGGTATGTTCTGGCTGACGGGTTGGACCAGCTACTGCAGTGACCCTTCAGCAATAACCAGCAGGCTACAAAGAGGGTTAAAACTTGGCCTTTTCACACCCAAGCTTGGCAGGATTCAAAGCTCAGCCAGGGTTGGGTGAAGTCTGGCAGCTCCTCCTCTGTGCAAAGGCAGACGAGGTTCTTTGGGTAAATCTGAGCTCTTTTATTAAACCAACTCAGATCGGATTTACCCAGAGAACCTCATCTGCCTATGTCCTTAGACCAACACAGCTACAGTCTACTCTCTGTAAACTGATTTTACGCTGTCATAGTAAGGAGAACTCGAACACTGTGCTTGTGCCAGACCTTTGTTTGAGACAATAAAGGGGTAGCAGTCACAATCTGGTCCTGGATATGGATGCAACGATGAGTCTCTGATGCTACTAAAAGTTTTAGCCAGAGAAGGGGCTTGATTCACCCTCTACTCTGGACCTTGTGGAGTCATTTGTGCAAAGGGAATGGAAAATCTACTAAGTCAGATGGAGGATGTGTGTGCTCGCTTTGCATGGATGATGCAAAAAAAAAGCAGGAAAGCAAATCGTAGCCATTCTACTCGCAGAACCATTGAATTCAAGTCCAAAAATTTTCTAGTTATTTAAAAATAATTCAAATTATTTTAAAAAATAAAGGATTTTTTGTGCATTTTCTCCCTGGTGGTATTTTAAGTAGAATAAATAAATATATACTAAAAATAAAGAGTGTTTGATTCCAGCTGGGTTGCTTTAAAAAATGGACATGTCCAAAGGGTTTCTAACCATCATTTGATAAAAAATTTGTTTTGCTCCAGAGTATTGTAACCACTTCTGCTCCACTAATATTAGGGTATTTCAGCACAGTTACAATTTTCCTGGAAACTTATAATGGTCAGTTTTGTGCATAATTAAAATGCCAATTTCCGTTACTTTATCTGTAGTTCTAAAAAAGAATTTCCACATGACAAGTCTTAAAGCTTGCCGTCCACTTCCTTTCCCAATTATTGTCTTTTTCAAGTCCTAATTCAGGCACTCATATTTGAGTTAACTTGAATTAAGCTCATGTTTAAGCACCCTGCTGAAGAGGAGAAGACTTAGATATATGCTTACAACTAATCACACGCTTAAGAGCTTTGCTGCATAGGGGCTTGTGTTCTCTACAGTGGACATGCCACTGAGGCTTCTTAATGAGGTTGGCCTGTGGGCATTACCAAGTAAACTCATTTTCACAACAAATATCCACCTACTCCAAAAGAATAGTTTGGTAACAACATACTCCTGCCTTTCAGGGTGATATCATCACAGTGATCAGCAGAGTTGATGAGAACTGGGCTGAGGGCAAGTTAGGTGACAAAGTAGGGATCTTCCCCATCTTGTTTGTGGAGGTAAGTACAGTATCTACAAAAACGCTTATTTGATACCTTACCTCAGTCAACCATCCAGACCTTTTTCACATTTCCTGAATTGCGTGACATGCTGCATGGGGGTTGGGACTCCTTTGTTTTGCATTATAGCCCTTCTAAATTAATTTAGTACTGGTGAAAGTTGGTTCTTGTCACTCAGGGTGACTAGTATCTCTCTCACTTACCCACAAGAAACAGGAACCTCATAAGGCCATTAGCTGTACAGACTTCCCTGATATTTGTCAGTGTATCTTCCACCCCTAGCCCAGAGCAACAAATTTTCAACAAAAGAAGCCACTTAGACTTCATGGCCACTCACTCCTTGGTGCTGTGCCGACACAAGATGGATAAGGATTACGCCTGTGTGAATAGAGAAGTATTCGATTCAGATTCAGCCAATTCAGAGGACAGTGGTTCTGATTTGGAGATTTGGATCACTGTCCTGAATCTTTTCAAACGAATCAGCATCAGAAGATTCAGCACCGATTTGGATGGGCCAGGTAGAGGCAGGCACGGCCAGGCGGCGGCAGGTTCCCTCACAGCTCCTCCGGCTGTGCCTGCCTCTCCCCAGGTGGGGGGAGCTGTGGGAGAAGCCCCCATGGCTGCCCTGCCCAAACCCAGCCTTAAAAAAAAAAAAAGCCCCACACTCACCAGTTGCAGTAGCAGTGATTGGGGCCCCTGGGCACTCCTGGCAGGGCCCCTGGGCACTCATGGCAGAGCCCCCCAACAGCTTGGCACCCGCGCAACAGCAGGTGCAGCGTGGCTCGGCAGGGCTCTGCATGCTGCCTGGGAGCTGAAGCCGCTGGGGCCGAGTGCTGCCAGGGTTCAGCTGACAGGTAGAGCTGCCCCAGCTCCGAGGTAGCGTGCAGTGCCCTGCCAAGCCACGCTGCACCCACACCATGGGGCAGCTGCCGTCCGAATGCCAAGCGGGGGGGCTGATCCCCGTTGTCCCCTGCTGCCCTGTGCTGTGTGGGGGGCATCTGACATGAGCCTTCAGAGGCTCCAATCGCTGCTTCTGCAGCTGTTACTCACACTTCACTTTTATCACCTAGCTTCTAAGTGCCAGGAGGCTGGGTCGGGTGAGGGATGGGGCCAAGCAGGGCAGCCATGGGGGTTCCTCCCATGGCTCCCCCAGCTGTGCCTGCCTCTGCCCCAGCAGGGGAGCCATAGGGGCTATATCCTGCTGCTGCACACCCTGGTGGCATGGTGGGGGAGGGAAAAAAGAGGGGAGGGCACGATGCAGGCATGGCTCGCTCTGCATGGCAGCAAGGCATAGTTACTGTGCCCACATCAGTGCTGGGAGCAGGGGCTCTGCCCTGTCGCCACTTGCCAGCAGGGAGGCATGGGATGTGGGTGCAGCAGCACTGGAAGCGGGGGCTGCCACTTGCCCCCTTCCACCTGGAGCAAGCCTCACTTGCATCCCGACTTCCCCCCCACCTCTTGCTGGGTAAGAGGCAGCAGGGCAGAGCCCCACTACCAGCACTGCCGTGTCTGCAACCTGCACCCCCTCACCCCAGCTGGCCAGCTTGCCCCAGCCCGAGCCCAATCCCTCCCTCCCCCACGCCTCTTCCCCACATATCCCCCAACCCCAACAGATTTACCAGCTGGAGGCAGCTGTCAGCTGCCTGTTTAGTCTATGGCCAAATCTCCAAATCAGCCAAATCGATTCAGATGCTTCGAATCGATTCGGAGCTTTTACTTGGTCTTCCAATTCAATTTAGATTCAAAGATTCAGTCCCAAATCGGGCCTTCAAATCGAATCAGCTACTGAAGCTTTGCACAGCCCTAAGGATGATATCTGGAAGGATGTGGATTTTGTAATGTTTATTTTGTAAAACTTATTCATTGGAAAATGTGCATTTTCATCCTAGCCAAACATTTTCCCAAAAATGACTTTGTCAAAATTTTTGTTTCTGGAAATGAAAAATCTCAATAATCAAAGTTTTTGGGGAGCAGGGACAACATTTACTCACACTTTACTTTTGTCACCCAGCTTTTCTATTGATAAGAAAAAAAAAAGTAGAAGAAAGTGGCTCCCCTTCCCCATTGAATGAAATAGTTCAAAAGTTTGAAAGATCTAGTGAAAAAAAATGGAAAATTTCAAACAGAACAAAAATACGTTTTCCAGTTTTCCCCCATAATTTGCGCTCTCATCAGCTCTGTTAATAATACATTTCCACGGGGAGCTACAATGAGAACAAACAAATTACTTTTCCATAGGCCATAAAATGTCACCACCACCCCACACCAGATCATATCAGAGGTGGCTGTTTATCGCATTATCACTCTGCTTGCCCATTTAGTCTTTCCTCACCCATGAGATTCTTCATTTGTTGCTGAATTGTCACTAACAATATTCCTATAGTTTAGGCTGAGATATAAGTGGTAAATACCACCAAAAAAAAATCAAAATACTGAAAAATAAAAAAAGATTGGATTAATGACCGGAATATTTATGCATGTTATGAGTCCATCGTAACTTTGTATATATTAAGACACAAGTAAAAAATATTATCTGAAATTCTAATATCTTTTAAACTGTTGCTTCATTTAATGAAATGATTTTGACTCAAGTAATTACTTATTTGAATCCCATATAAGTGGAAAGTAATTACATATAGTCATATAAACTCACTGAGACATTAGAAATTAATTATGGGAAGGGCCTAGGTGGGGCTAGTTTGGAGGTGTAACACTTATTAAGGCTTTGGATTTACTGTCAGTGCTCAGATGTGTCACCCATTTTTTTTCAGGTTATGGGAACTCACATAAGCAGTTCTAGCTTTAGGCCTTTTATAATAATTTATGGGAATTAAAACAATACTACTTAATATTTATACACATGCAATGCTCTCTTCAAACCATTTTTTTTAAGTGAGTGGGAGGTAAATGTAAAAAGAATCCATGCTTTTCAAAAGATGACATTGTAGAGGCAACTACCTACTTCACGTTAGACTAATCCTTGCTCATAGCAGGAGTTAGGTTATTGCTTCAAATGAGTGGGTGAAAATCTCAAAGTTTTGTAATTCTTTAATGTCAGCAATACATCATGATTAATTTCTTTGGCAGTCATCATTATAAGAAATGTTGTCACCACATGCCCTTTGCTAATGTTGAGGTGATCAGCAGTTTCAAAGAAATACTGTTGAAATGTAACCTCTATGGAAACTCAGGGTCCAACCTGGCTCCCATTAAAATCAACAGTGAGAATGTCAATTTTTTCAATGGGAACAGGATCAAATGGTGAATGTGTTGTTCTGGATTAATATAACTGAGTGGATCTGACACTGCTCAGAAAGCTAGCGTCAATGAGGATTTCTCCATATTAAAGCCTCAGTGTCAATTGTAGATATTTGACACCCTGTTGCAAAATGCAAGCAATGCTGCCAAAATAAAGCTGTTTAAAATGTACCCACATGTCCATTATAATTTAGTGGTAAATCTGTTATAATGTGCTACTGGAGTTGAGTGAGGGGGAAAAAAAATCCTCTGAAATCCATTCAGTATCATATTCACTTCTGCAAGTGTCAGATTTTGATCGGAAAAGAGGCTGGACCTTCCTGTGAGATTCTTAGCTAAAGAAGAAACTAGACACCCAGGCTCAATGGGACAATGTGCCATCAGCAGATTTCTTCAAATCCATTTTAATTTGGTTGTCAGCTTTGCATCAATAATTATGCCTCTGGGAATTGTCACTGCAAAAATAGAAAGGGAAAAAGCTAAACCACGTGATTTACTACAATGTCATCTTCAGCCCAAACTCATCTCCCCATTTGATAAAGGTATTAGGAGACAAAACTAATGCTAACTGGGTGGGGGTTTACAGAATGCTTAGCTTCTGAGATGCTATCATCAAGCTTCCCTTCACTCTCTTCTAGTCGAACACTACTGCAAGACAACTCCTACAGACAAGTAAAAGCCACCCATCTTCCCAGTTTAAACGTGCATCGCCCTTAAGAATGTCCTCTCCCAAAGCAAGAGTCAAAGAGTCCCCAACTTTCCGCAAGGTATCAGAATCCAGGAGGAAAAGCCTGAGACAATTCTCTATCACAACTGCCTTAAACACACTCAACAGGATTGTCCATTCACCCACCGATCGGCAGACTCTAGAAATCAGCTCACCAGTGCTCATCAGCTCCAGTAACCCAACGGTGATAACCCAGAGCAGCGAGAAAATGGAATTCCCTTATGGGACCCCAGTGCAAGTAAGTGAAAACCAGTCATGCCATTGATTGCAAGGCAGATAATGCCAGCCCTAAATTCATAATATTACACCAAAAACTAAGTTCTTAGGTTCTAGGTGGAAACATTTACTATGCAGGAAACAACTTGAAAAGCCAAAGCCCAAGCCAGCATTAAACAGTTTTTAATGTTTATAGGTTTGCAGGTATAACTGTGGCACAGCTTACTGGAGCTCAGGCACTTTGTAATGCAACAGGTGATAAAGGTAAAAGATTCCTTTTAAGACTTGTACATTGTTAACAAAAGGAGGATAGAGAGATGAAATGCCAGTGCTAATAACGCCTACAAGCCAGTATGTCATCTGTGGTGTCAGGGAATTTGGGACTTCCTCCTATTGAAATGGAAAGTTCTGCCTCTTGAGTCACAGGAGCCATTGTGACTCATAAAAGGAAGAATAAATTATCAGAATGACTGCACTTGAGTAATTCACGTTCTTAATATTCTATCTTTCCTTTTTTTCTTTTTTGGTTAGTTGCAGAGGTGGAGGCTGAGAAAAAGAGAGGGTTTGCTTTAAAAAAAACCCATACACATTTTCTAGTCTGGAAAGTGTAATATGGAGTGTGCATTTCAAGGAAAATTAACTCAGCTTTGGTTTATTAACAGATAAGTGTATCTATTGCAACTACACACACACTGAGTGCACTCATGCTGTGTGTGCCCATACATGCTGTAGAATCATAGAATAGTAGGGCTGGAAGGGACCTCAGGAGGTCACCTAGTCCAACTCCTTGCTCCAGGCAGGGTCATACCTGATTAAATCATCTCAGTCAACTATATGGATTCTTATGCAACCATATAGCCAACATAGGCAGAAATCAGAGCCAACAAATATAAAAGGCAAAGATAAAAACAGTGATAGTCAAGTTCAGAAGTGCCATTTCAGTCATGTAGGCTCCTTTTTAAGCTATCCCTTCCTGGTCTCGGGTTGTACATGATTACAAAAAGGTTCCTGAGGCTCCATTTAAAAGCCTGTAGCTTGCAGTCCCTATACTGCCAAATTAAGGGATATCCTGATTTTACTGAAGGCAAAGGGAGTTTTACTGTTGACTTCAATGGGTCTAAGATTTCACCTTCAGTGACTTCAGTGTGGGGTTACCCTCTGTAAGGAAGGACCTGCAGAGCCAGGCCCCAGGTTATTATGCTAATGAGAGTTAAAAGCCCAGCTAAATTAATGAGAAAACTGCAATTCTTTGGGGCCCTTTTTGACCATGATTGCTTTAACAGACCTTTCTCATGTCCCTGTGCTTTAAAGCAAAATGTAAAACTTCATTAATATTTTCATGCATTTAATTTTTTCTGGCTTGTTTCCAAAGCTCTAGGAGCTTCCCAGCATCTAATCACTTAACTGAGGACCTGGATAGATGTCACATTTGACACCAGTATAAAAGTTGATTGCACCAACGTACAAAGGAACAGACACATAATGGGAAGCCCCTTACTGGTGTATCTGACATGAATGCTGTGTAGAATCACTCCAAAGAAAACAGGGTTAAAAATCAATATAGTTACCCTGTTGTCCATTAGGTCACAGCTTATCTCAGGGTATCTGATTATTCAAGGCAAATAAGCTATTACTTGCAGCCCCACTAGCTTATGTAATAGCCATCTGCTGAATTCAGCTACCTGGGAACAGCTGCACACCTGTCCATTCCAGATCACAAAATAAATTTAATCAGCATACATCATTACATAAGCTTCACCCTGTATTTCACAGTATTTAAAACAATGCCTTTATTCATCAGTTTTTCTCTGATAGCAAACACAAAGCACTGTATTTAGTCATGTTACAGCACACCACACAAATCACTACATAAGCTTCAGCCCTTCTTACCATGGACTGTTGCACAACAACAGCACACAAATGCCTAATCTTTGGAGGTGTTCAGCACCCTAATCTAGGGTTTAGGCCCATAACTACATCACACAGTTACAGCCATCTTCTTCTAAATGGATGGCATTTATCATGCAGGAAACTCTAGGAGTCGTAGCTGCATCACAAACCAAGACTGTCCTCAGACTGGTCAAATTTGAGTTGAAATACCACAGTTACTTTATTAAACTAGACTGACCTTTGAAACCAAGTTCTCTCCTTGGTGAGAGTCAAGAGGTCCCAGATTCTCCCATTCACATCCACTTACTAATTGAAGGTCTTCACATGCATCCTCACCAATCAAAAAAGAAAGAGGGTTTGTTTAGATTTATGTGTGATCTGTCATATTCAAGGTATCTCTAAAAGCTTTATAAAGCTATAAGCCAGCCCCTACTAGTGTAGTGCCTAGCAATAAAACCCAGCAGGCATTTTGTACTTAGGAGTGGCTTGCACAGGGCCTTGGATGTTAGGATCCTGTTTTATGTGAGGGGAAATGAAGCCTTACAACAGAACCATAATTCAGTTGAAATTGCATCATGTCTCATGACCCCAGTATCATTTTACAGACAACATCTCGCTGTGAACTATTGTCAACAGTCTAAGCCCTAGAGCCCATAACTTAATTTGTGGCCTCATACTGGCTCTGAATTTTATCTAAGCCATCTTTTATTCTAAAAGGTTGCAAGGTGGTTGTTTTGGGGTTGGGGGGGACTGAGGAGAAAAAGTCTTGATTATTTTTTTGTTGTTGTTATTTTATTTTGTTCACCTGCTCTGGGTCTGAGCTGCAGTATTTGCTGCTAAAGACTATCCTGAGCTGCAAAGTTCAGATCCAGGTCTAGGTCCAGATCCAAACTTCAAGTGAAGATGTTTTCTGTTTTCACTGTTCTCCAATAGTAATGATAGCCTAGTCAGTCAAAAAAGATAGAGACAAATTTAAAGGAGTCCAAATAAGAGCAACAAAAATGGCCAGGTCTAGAAAAAAATAATGACATATGAAAGTTTAGAAAAGAAGGGTTATTTAATAAAAAAGACTCTACAAGTTCAAAAAGGGTTGTTATGAAGAGTATGGCAATCAGTTGATCTGTGGCCAAGTAATATAATGGGGATGAAATTTAACATAGATTTGGGATAGTTATTTTACTGAGATTTCTTACTATGAGGATTGTCATGCACTGAAACACATTACCTAGAGATCTGTGGAATCTCTACACTGGAAGTTTTTAAGTGCAGGTTATTAAAACAAACATTTGTCAGGAGTGGTTTAGACAGATACTATCATCCTACTTTGACCAGGGTGTTGGACTACATGACCCCCTGAGGTCCCCTCCAGCCCTGTTTATTTATGATGCAATGACCAGCCATAAAAATACATGTCCCAAATTTCTCATATGGCACTATGACATAATAAAGAATGGAAGAAACCCATTTGATTACAACAGAAATTGAAAGGCTGATATAAAGGATAATGAGTCAAAAAGTCATAGACAAAAGTTTAATGTTAACAATCTGAGATTAGTTTTCCCAACTGGATGATCTCCTTTAATAATCTGACTTTAATTGTGGGTTTTGAGACCTTTTGAAAATCCAACTCTTTGCCAATGGCACAACATGGGTAGGAGAAAAAGCAGGGAGAATTGTGTGCATCATTACATTACTCCAGATTAATTGTGCTCTATTTACAAGTAAAGAGCAACTGTCACCCTTACAAACTTAGGGAATCATGAGTCAAGCTGGGTCCTTTCATTACTGGCGGCACTGGGCTAGATGTCTTCCACAGATCAATTTACATTGATGGTGCACTCCTTGATCCCAATTAAACTTGCACAGTTGGAACTGATTGGAACTTAGTAAATCATCTGCAGATGATGCTCCAGAAGGAGCTGGATCCACTGTTCAGCCTCTCTTGCACAGGAGACCTAAAGGCTAGGGACAGACATTACACATAAATCGGTTTAAGTGACCAGAAACTGGTTTCAGCCTGTAAGAGAACAGATGTTCAGTGCACATAAACCAGTTTGAAAATGGCTGAAACCAATTTGAGATAAACGTGTAGTACCAGACTTAACTGATGTGGGTCAATCTGGTTTATGCAATGTCTATCCTAGACCCCTTGCTTGTTTAAGTTAAACCAGACTCCCCCAGCATGCTCTCTGGGCTGGGCTGGGCTGTCTTCTCCTCCCCTCTGCTCCCTGGCTGGAGCTCAGCAGAGACTGCAGGCTTCTGCAAGGGGAAGCCAGGGAGAAGTCTGTGTAAGGCAGGGAGGATGGGGCAATCCCTGCTCCTTCCCTCCCAACTCCCTGCTAAGCAGGGATTGCCCCATCCCCTCTGCCTTACACAGACTTCTCTCAGCATTAGCTATGCTGGCTACAGTCCATACTGTGGCAGACAGGACAAAGGCAGAATAACAGGTAGCTGGTAATGTCCCTCTGTTTTTTTCTTAATGGGGTGATAAACACTGAGTTAGGGAAGACAAATGCTGTGTTATCAATTCCCTGCTGGGCTGGTCAGGTGGTGGGGAACCCCTCCCTAATCAGAGCATCCTGCTGGGACCTGGCCACACCACACTCAGCTCAGCACTGTCGAAGAGAAGGGAGGGCTGCTCCAGTGCACCATTCCTGCCCCCCTCCCCCCCCCCCCCCCTCCTAGCCTGGGCCCCTGCGGGCTTGGCCCTAACTTTTTG